AAGGGATCATGGAAGTTGACATGTTTGAGCTGCTTCCGCGGGCCACATAAAAGGATGTGGCGGGCCAGATCTGGCCCCTGGGCCTTGAGTTTGACACCTGTGGTTTAAGGGATTTTCTTATGGTACTGTATAGGGGAGTGCATCGCTCCACAAAAGATAATTCCGTGTGGTTTTTGATACCGTATGTGAAATACTGTAAAAGCACAACTTTCAAAATAAAAGCACAGCATATTTGACATTTGACTGCAACCTCAGAATCACAGTGAGCGCCGAGTCAGAGACGGTGGGTGGGCCAGATGTTGACATCACTGTCATCATAACAAAAGCCTTGAGCCAACTACCAGGTTTTAGTGTTACTTCCACTGTATACGACTGTTTATTTGAAATACCGTTTGCGCTGTATTGCCCTTCCGTTAATGTTGTACAAAAGAGATTAATAATTGCAAGGAACTTTTTTTTTCCTCTCCTGGATAAACTGTCAACACAGGTGGCGAAAGTCCGACTCGCACTCTGCACTTAGGTAGAAATATGGTTTACTTGTGTCTTAAAAGACTTCTGTGGAAGTCTCAGGGTCAGACCTCTGGACATTGATTGAACTCTTTTTCTTCAGTAAAAGTAAAAAAGTACAGACACTTAATTAAATGCAATAAAAAAATGTGTGTGTGTTTTTTTTAAACTGTCAATTATATACAAGACCTGTTTTGACAACTTGGTAACTCCCTTCCCTTACCGAGTGCCCCCTTGGTGCTTTTGAATGAGTTTGAATGACGCAGCAGTCACAACCACTCACTCTGTGACCTTACCGCTGGTTGAAGTCTTCAAATGTGAGAACCGATGTCTATTTATGAAAGCACTTTGTGTTCTAACTTTAGCGTCCACGCCTGCTGCCGTGCTCTCAATATGGACACGCGCTCTTGACCGATAGCTACGTGCGGCCGTAGTTTTGACGCGTGGTTTTGTCGCCTCCTCGTTCATTCAGCCGCCCCACTGACCTTGGCCTGCGGTTTATGCTTATGGAAGTATACATGCTGTGCTAGTATCCGTGGCATCTGAGTTTGGATTTGGAACACAGAATTTTTTTTGAGATGATAACAAAATTCAAGGTGCTTATTTTGTGTCAAACGAGTTTAAATCTAAGACATCTTTTTTTTTTAACCATCACATTTTCTAATACAAAAAATTTGAACCATCCATTTTTTACTATTGAATAAAATGAAGTAAAACTTTTAAATTCAAATTCAGATGGCACAAAGATCTCTCATTAAATTTAAATCTAGGCGGCAAAGTTATATCTTGTGCCATCTGAGTTTGAATTTAAGACAATGAATTCTTTACACTGACAATTTTTCAAGTTAAAATTTGAGGATAAAAATAAACATTTGTGTTAGAAATTCAAATTGAAACTTTGCAAAAATATGTATTGTATACTTCCATACTTGAGCAACTTTGTGCCAGTCCAGGGTTGGAACGTTCTTGGAAAACATTTTCTTTTTTTATTGGCCTTGCAGACGAGAGAGCTGCATTACTGACCTCGGTTAAGTAGTTCGTGTGAATTGAGGAAGTTGTCAGCTGATGCTTGCGCAGGTGACCCGCATGGAGGGTGTTGCTGGATTTGATTTCAAATGTGACAAGACTGCGAAAAGGCTCAAGAGTGCGTGGAGCCATCTCGCCAGCCAGCACAATTAGGGTCAAGGCTAGAACTTATTAAATGTTTACGTCAGGGAGTCCGAACTCCAGCCTGCACGTTTTTCATTTGCCACATGCAACACAACGTTATGGGAAAAAGAGAAAAATGTAAACAAAACTGAATGTCATCATACTTTTTTTTTTTGAAAAATCGTCCCACAATTTTTTCATTTTACATTTTAGGTACATTTGAATACAATGAGATACTTGTTTTAAAATAATTGATAGCTATCATGCAACTTTATATATTATTTTCACATTACACTGATAACGTTTTGGTTTGTCACCAGTAAGCTGAGATTTGGTCTTTTTTTTTTTTTTTTTACCTGCTTAGAGTATGTTGATCCCTAGCGTGTTGAATTATTATCTTTATGTATATTTTTATTGATGTTTGTTTGTTTATATATGGGTGTGTTTTGGAAACACAAAGGTGAAGTCGTCCCCTTCTGCTTTCCATTTTGCTGTTTGGGGCCCAGAGCTTGGTAGGCAGAGTTTGGAGATCACTGGTGTTACATTTGAAGTATTTCACAAGGGAAAGTGGAATTGTCCCATCCAATAAATGCTCGTGTCGGGCGGGGCATTTGGCTTGATTTGAGTGTGCATAGCTCGCGGGGTCCTTTACATTAAAAAGGGTCATAGAGTTCAAGTAAAATGTGCATAGTCAACTTAAATTATAAACTGTCAACATAATTATCAAACAACAAAATTATAGCTAAATCAATCTGGGAAACCGCTATCCATCGTGGTCGGTAAGGAAAAACATGACTGTGAAGCCGAGCTTTTCAATTTGGGCTGCAACACGTGGCCTCTTAACAGTTGCATATGTTGTCCTATTTTTATTAACAGTTCTACCATGACTGGTTGTCAATTTTAAAAGTTTGTGTGAGCATTCTGGCCTTTTGTAAGGTGAGGCTGAACGCTGAAAGTGGCTGTGACCTTTTTGTCGTTCGTTTGAGGCTAAATTACGGATTTTTTTTTTTTTTTTTTTTTTAGGGATTGGATGAAAGGACAGCTTTACAGATGGCCTGGTTAGGGCGGCGCTCCTATTCAGGGCACCTTTCCTTTCACTAGGTGAGTCCTGCTGCTTCTATTCACAGAGGACTGTGTTGTTACGAGGACGGCGCCAAAAAACAACATCGGGCTGCCCTCATTTCTCTTGATAGTCAGCAGCAGCAGTAAAGTAAGGACAAAAGCCCAGCTGAAGCTGATTAACTGAAAGCTCAGAAGCAACGTCAACCTTTGGACTGCGTTTCTTTTCTTGGGTCAGACCGTTGTATAAAATATTACGTCCCATAAATGTGGACTGTATTAACCCACTTTTTTTTTCAGCTGGTTGGCCTTGTGATATAAAACATTTTCATTTGGCCTACGAAAGGAAAATGTCAACTTCATGTTTCTTGCTAAATGTAATTATTTTTTTTGGGGGGGGGGAATCTGTGTCAAAACATTTGCTTTTAACGGATACTAACCCCCAATTTCCTTGCTAAGGGGGCAAGCAACATTTGAATGTGGTCTCACTTCACTAATATGCCATGGAACATTTGGCTATTTCTGGCTTAAAGCAGTAGTACCTCTGGGTATAAATTCTAAGAATACACACATTCTAGGTCTCATGTTGGGCAGCACACATTAAGCAGTATTATGAGCAGAGTCGCAGAGGATTGAAATATGAAACTTTCGGGAAGCTTTTTAGTTTTGTTTTGAACTGGTGTATTCAGCAAGTCAAATGTGCTCTCATCAATATCTAAAATGGAGAGGATATGGGGGAAATAACATAAAACCAATACGGATCTGATATTCATCCTCCCAGGAAAAAAAAAGGGCAGTGAGCAGGGGTGTCACTAGGTTTCAAGAACAAGGGGGGCTTGGCCCCAAGGGGAACACAGCCCCTTTAGGGGGGTCCGGGGGCATGCTCCCCCGGGAGAAATTTTTTCTACATTCTGTTAAAAATCCATCAATTCCGTGCACTTTGAGAGCAAAATGAAGAGGCTATGAAGAACTACACACATCACATTAGTATCCTCTTTACTATGATGGGGCTTCCTCCCCTGGACTTTAACTGGACTAGATAATAGAAATTACAAAGAGTTCAAAAGTTCAATCTTGGTTGTTCAAGGGAATTAGAAGGATGCCCGATAACATAACCTATATGACAGTAGTCCTATATTCCTCTCTACCAAAATGTATTAATATATGCTTAGCAGTGGCGGGCCGTGCATTTCAACCTTAGGCCTTCAGTGACGTCACATACATACACAATATAGGCTCGTCAAGCAG